GAATTTTGATAATTTTACTATAAATTCAGAGGGAGTAAAATTTTGCAGTGCAAAACAATCTTTTGCTCTGTTGTACATAATATGTGGGACGGAGACAACACATGAGGGTGGAACCAATATGTTATGGATAAAAAATTGAGTCTAGACCTTTTTTCATATTGGATTATTCCGGGCCCAGACAAAAACTCTTGTTTACTTTTTATAACGAGTTCTGCTCAGTATCTAAATAGTTTTTTTATTTCCTGCAACGTGATTAGTACTTAATCGCATTGATTTCATATTGAACACATCAATTAACAATACTGTCAATACTCCTCTATCCAGCGTGGAGTTTAGCGAATCGATACCCGATCGGCTATTCGCACCTATTCTGTTCGGTTTTTTTATTTGAATAATAATTTCTATTTGTATAGGTACCTTTATCGTACCTATATGTGTCCGTATTATAGTTTATAGTCGATAAACCCGTCGTCTATTGGATATTGATATTGTGTAGGTTATTGCCGAACTGTTAGATGTTGTCAATGTACAATAAACATTATATAACATTAACGTAATTACTATGATAATTAAACAAATTGTATTCTCGCGGTTGTTCATCGGTTGCGATTTTATATATTCAGTTAAGTTTTCATACTTGAAAGAGTTTACTGTTATATACGTGCATTTATGCCTGGAACAAAACACTATTACATTAATTATTCGTGTTAAATTAGACATAACACAGTATTATTATTGTACATGTATAAAGTATAATTGGATAGCACCCGGAAATGTCAGATGCAGCTGATGTTGTTTCGTTTAATTTTCGATGCGAACGTGTAAAACCATAAATTCTAACTATTACCATGTTCTTAGGAAATCTAACAGCCAATTTGTATATTCAATTATAATAATTTCAAAAACATATAGTTTGAGATTTTAAGGAGTTCGATGTGGGTAATCTAACGTACGTGTCCCCAACCCCCCATCCAAAGAAAATTTCGAAAATTTCTATCCAAATATTTTGTATGCCATTTGTATGAATTTGTTTGATGGTTCTTAGAATTTGTACGACACCAGTATTCGAGCAATATCGGAAATACAGAAGGGGGGCTGGAGACATATGTCTCCAGCCCCCGTAATATAAATAATTAAGTATTCATATATTTTGTACTGCAAGATTCAAGAACGCTATTTGTATGAATTTGTATGACCATTTTTGGAATTTGTATGCGACCCCCTCCCGAGTTATAATCGAAAAACCAATTTTCCCGTGTCCCCCGCCCCCCATCATAGGAATTTTCTACTTTTTCCTACGCGAAACAATTAAACGCTATTTGTATGTATTTGTATGACCATTTTTGGAATTTGTATGCGACCCCCTCCCGAGTTATAATCGAAAAACCAATTTTCCCGTGTCCCCCGCCCCCCATCATAGGAATTTTCTACTTTTTCCTACGCGAAACAATTAAACGCTATTTGTATGAATTTGTATGACCATTTTTGGAATTTGTATGCGACCCCCTCCCGAGTTATAATCGAAAAATCAATTTTCCCGTGTCCCCCATGTCCCCCTGCCTCTCCTATATTGAATTTTCTACTTTTTCCTACGCGAAACAATTATATGCTATTTGTATGAATTTGTATGACCATTTTTGGAATTTGTATGCGACTCCCTCCCGAGTTATAATCGAAAAACCAATTTTCCCGTGTCCCCCGCCCCCCATCATCGGAATTTTCTACTTTTTCCTACGCGAAACAATTATATGCTATTTGTATGAATTTGTATGACCATTTTTGGAATTTTAATGCGACCCCCTCCCGAGTTATAATCGAAAAACCAATTTTCCCGTGTCCCCCGCCCCCCATCATAGGAATTTTCTACTTATTCCTACGCGAAACAATTAAACGCTATTTGTATGAATTTGTATGACCATTTTTGGAATTTGTATGCGACCCCCTCCCGAGTTATAATCGAAAAACCAATTTTCCCGTGTCCCCCGCCCCCCATCATAGGAATTTTCTACTTTTTCCTACGCGAAACAATTAAACGCTATTTGTATGTATTTGTATGACCATTTATGGAATTTGTATGCGACCCCCTCCCGAGTTATAATCGAAAAACCAATTTTCCCGTGTCCCCCGCCCCCCATCATCGGAATTTTCTACTTTTTCCTACGCGAAACAATTAAACGCTATTTGTATGAATTTGTATGACCATTTTTGGAATTTGTATGCGACCCCCTCCCGAGTTATAATCGAAAAATCAATTTTCCCGTGTCCCCCATGTCCCCCTGCCTCTCCTATATTGAATTTTCTACTTTTTCCTACGCGAAACAATTATATGCTATTTGTATGAATTTGTATGACCATTTTTGGAATTTGTATGCGACTCCCTCCCGAGTTATAATCGAAAAACCAATTTTCCCGTGTCCCCCGCCCCCCATCATCGGAATTTTCTACTTTTTCCTACGCGAAACAATTATATGCTATTTGTATGAATTTGTATGACCATTTTTGGAATTTTAATGCGACCCCCTCCCGAGTTATAATCGAAAAACCAATTTTCCCGTGTCCCCCGCCCCCCATCATAGGAATTTTCTACTTATTCCTACGCGAAACAATTAAACGCTATTTGTATGAATTTGTATGACCATTTTTGGAATTTGTATGCGACCCCCTCCCGAGTTATAATCGAAAAACCAATTTTCCCGTGTCCCCCGCCCCCCATCATAGGAATTTTCTACTTTTTCCTACGCGAAACAATTAAACGCTATTTGTATGTATTTGTATGACCATTTTTGGAATTTGTATGCGACCCCCTCCCGAGTTATAATCGAAAAACCAATTTTCCCGTGTCCCCCATGTCCCCCTGCCTCTCCTATATTGAATTTTCTACTTTTTCCTACGCGAAACAATTATATACTATTTGTATGAATTTGTATGACCATTTATGGAATTTGTATGCGACCCCCTCCCGAGTTATAATCGAAAAACCAATTTTCCCGTGTCCCCCGCCCCCCATCATAGGAATTTTCTACTTTTTCCTACGCGAAACAATTAAACGCTATTTGTATGTATTTGTATGACCATTTTTGGAATTTGTATGCGACCCCCTCCCGAGTTATAATCGAAAAACCAATTTTCCCGTGTCCCCCGACCCCCTCATTGGAATTTTCTACTTTTTCCTACGCGAAACAATTAAACGCTATTTGTATGTATTTGTATGACCATTTTTGGAATTTGTATGCGACCCCCTCCCGAGTTATAATCGAAAAACCAATTTTCCCGTGTCCCCCGCCCCCCATCATAGGAATTTTCTACTTTTTCCTACGCGAAACAATTAAACGCTATTTGTATGTATTTGTATGACCATTTTTGGAATTTGTATGCGACCCCCTCCCGAGTTATAATCGAAAAACCAATTTTCCCGTGTCCCCCGCCCCCCATCATAGGAATTTTCTACTTTTTCCTACGCGAAACAATTAAACGCTATTTGTATGTATTTGTATGACCATTTTTGAAATTTGTATGCGACCCCCTCCCGAGTTATAATCGAAAAACCAATTTTCCCGTGTCCCCCATGTCCCCCTGCCTCTCCTATATTGAATTTTCTACTTTTTCCTACGCGAAACAATTATATACTATTTGTATGAATTTGTATGACCATTTATGGAATTTGTATGCGACCCCCTCCCGAGTTATAATCGAAAAACCAATTTTCCCGTGTCCCCCATGTCCCCCTGCCTGTCCTATATTGAATTTTCTACTTTTACCTACGCGAAACAATTAATCGCTATTTGTATGAATTTCTATCATACTTATACTACGGACATTCATAATTTGTTGAAATTGGTAATTCTTTAATTATATTTGTAATTTTGAATACTGTCTGTCATAATTTTATTAAATAAAATTAAAATTGTTTTAAAATATATTTTTATATTAAATAAAACTCTTATAAGAAGCAAGAACGTACTTTGATGATTCTTCGCATACTATAGTGTAATTTTGTTATTTATGAATATGTTGCTTTTAAAAATATTATTCAGTGTACTTTGTACTTATAACATATAAGTCCTGCTGACTTGAAACATATCGATATTTTCAAAATGTATACTTACCATTTTACACTGAAGAATTCATATAAGTAACGCGTTTTTCAGATCCTTTTCCCGCCCCCTCATGATCGAGTATTTGATTGTTTTTTTACCAATTTCTTCTAATTTGTAACTAGAAGGTTACTACTAGATTATTTTAAAGTTGAATTTTGACCTTTTTAAATTCTGAGCGGAGCAAGAAAGGTAGTGATTTTACAATGGTGTTTATTTTTTTTTTTTTAACCTGTTTATAAAATGTCTACCAAAAGGAGTGCTTCGATTTCAACATACAGTACATTATATTTTAGAGAATTGGATCAAGACGATACTTTAAAAATGTCATTTTTTGATTTTCTCAATAGTTATTTAATGCCATAGGAAAAACCATCGACAAATTACAAATACCGCTTAAGATGGGATTTTAATTTCTAACGCTTTGTTTATTACCATAGAAACGAATAAAAATAAATAACCAGACGGATTGCATTCTGGGAGTGCCGGAAGAAGTGCCACCTTGAATATTAACGTCATGCATTTTTGATATTTTTAAATGGTTAGGAAACCATATAACAATATAAAATATATCCAGACTGACAAATCGTCTCCGCTCAGAATCGTTTTTCTTATACAATGATATTATATGTTTGAACTGAAGTTTAATACAATCCATTATACATTGATAAAATCGTAACCTATTGAAAAACAGAGCGACATCTACTTACCTACTTTTTTTTTTATATATTATTCTAATAAAATATATCTTTTTGTTTAACTCTGTGAATAGCATAAAAAATACCTCTTATATTTCTGATTGCTTTATATTTTGTTTTATAATTCTGTATTTTTTATAAATACTAAACAATATTTAAAACGATTGTCTTTTTCATTTAAATAATTAAAATCAATATAAATATAAAATTATACACTATAAAATAGAAGTTCGCATGATGCTGTTGTATTTTGGGATATTGGCATAGGTTTTTTCTTTAAATCGTCGTAAAGTTCCCAATTACCTCCACTTCTTCTGGCATATGTTGTATAATGTCCAATAGAGCTTCTAAGGAAACTTTTTCCTGGTCTGTAATTTAGTACTCCCCTTAGGTCATAAGATATACCGTTAAGAATTATGACTTCAGGGATATCACATAGTTTTACTTTTATGTGAGGTGCTGCCTCACTACTTTGCTGCATATTTTCACCTGTAATAGACTCAAAATTATAAATATTTATTTTATTATTTTATTGATGATTTTAGTTTACCTTTCCAATATAAAATTTCAATTAACACATGAAGTGGTGATACTTCACAACTGGTTTTTCGCAAGAAAGCGCATGGTATATTTTCTGGCTCATTAATTTGGTGGTTACATATAAACTCTTCAGTCTTCATTCCATTACTTACAAGTTCTTGAAGATCATCAACTTGTCCACTCGTAGTAGTAAATGTAACAAAACAACGATCTTGACACTTCTCTTGATATTTCTCACATTTTTCATTTGAGCATTTGCTTGTTTCTTTCAAGGAAGGGAATTCACTTAACATATATTTAAATACGGATTTTGGTGTAGTATCACAGATTAATAATGTCGTATTATATTCCATTGTTTCTCGGTTCGGATTAAGCGATGTGATTATTAATTCTGCTCGTTCGGAATATGTATGTGAAGTTATGCCATTTTTCACCAATTCAGAAATGAACTCAACAAATTTCGTTTTATTTTTCAAAAGACCACTTGAATAATTTTGACTGTCACAGAATGAAACCATAATCATTGATGCAATTGAGTCAAAGGCACACGTGTTACTCAAAATTACGTTTGTATTTTGACTTTTAAGTACACATGCCTTAAGTTCATCAGCACGTGATCCATTTTTGAGCAAAGGTAAATTACGTAAGTTTCGAGAGTTACCAATGTTAACATGGCGTAAGTGGGGATTAGGAATGATATAAGATGCACTCTTCAGTTGTTTTTTAGATCGTCGACACCAGTTATCTGTTGCATTGTTTTCTTTGGACTTTTCGTTTATTTCCAAACAGCTATAGCATAAACGAATATCATCTTCATTTGGAAGATGTGCTGAACACTCTGATAGTGCATGGACTGGTATTTTGCATACTGAACATTTATGTGCTCCATTCTTAGAAGGAAAGGATCCGGATTTACATAAAGGACAGTTTGACATGTTTAAATTATAATTTTTATTTTGAATAACGGGATTTTCTGTTTCAGCATCATTTCTAATATCAGTTGCAAATACTTCTGCAGATTTTAATAGTGATGATCCACGCAGTGAAAGCAAATGGATTTCCAGAAAGGATTCTATATCCGTTGGTAGTGATATATGCTTAAATGTTATATTTTTTAATTTGTTGAAACTGGACTCAACTGCTGCAGAACTACAAATAACATCTCCAAAACCAAAAATGGGTATCATTATTCCTGACCACAGTGGTAGTAATTTCATCATTTTAATTAAATGTGGAACAATTTCGGGAGCATATAGAGGATTTATACCTGTTCCTTCTTGTTTGTGTTGCTCACTTTCAATAAACACTTTTTCAGCCCATTTTTGAAAAGGATTATGTTCTTCAAGACCTTCAAAATGACAAAATTGTTCTTCTAACATATCATGGGTATCGGATCCAGTTCCAGAATAATCTATTAGTTCATCAAGTTGTTCATCTAATTCGATAATTCCGGTAGAGACAATTTCCATTAGTCTTCTGTTATGCCTTTCACAAGAAGTTTCAACTGCAGTATTTTTTACTAAGCCATTTGATTCATTAGTTATTGATATAAAAACTGATAACAATAATGAATAAACTTCTTGGAGATCCTGACATTTCACTAAACGACCAATTGTTCTGAGAATTATTTCTCGTACTTTCCTGTTCAAAGATTTAAGTGAGGGCCATTGACACGCGAGCTTCATAAAATGAGCTATATCTAATCTAACATAGCATTGAGGTAGCCAGCGAGAATCTCTAGGTAATCTATTAGTGATGATATCGGCACAAACTTCGATATAGATTTTTAAAGAAGAATACTGAGTAAACGTTTTCACAATTGCAGAAAGTAAAGCCAAAGACTGATCGCAAACAGTCTGCATAGGCTGGGGAACATTACTAGCCATCCAGTTGGCCAACCAATTTGATATTGAAATAGTGTTGTGACTCTCACTTATCATGTTAGTGACTGTGAAACTATGATTCTTTGCTTTGTCATACACTACCGCCTCGTATAAGAATAGGGTCTTTGTTTTTTCAAGTCCAAATTTCATGAAATTCTTAACAACTGATCCAGTTGCATCTATTATTATCTGTGGATGTGTAACAGATTTAGAATATTCTCGATACATATGGATTTGCTCTTTATTGTAATAATAAATAAAAAATGGGTCACATCCCACATTTCGGATAATATCTTTATATTCGTTTTCTTTTTTCATAAGAGCAATAGCAGTAAGAGCATCTTTATTTCTTTTTTCAGAAGCAATTTTACGGGATTTGAGTAAACGTAAAGCATTTCCCGTAGGAATAATTGATGGATTGTTTCCTCCTAAAAAGTAAATGTGAAATATTTTAAGTGCAATTCCAAACTTAAAATAACCAAAAAAAAATATATAACTGAAGAGTATAAAATAGCAGAAATTATTTATTTTAGTGGAAGGTTCAAATTTAGCGAGTTTATTTTGTACTTAAGCTATATTCTTATATTCATTACTTCACAAGTACCTATGACTAATGATTTCGATTATTGTTAGCTATAAATATTTAAAAATCAAAACATCACAGTTGCCTAAAAAATGTACAAAAGTGCACCACAAACTCGCAAATAATAAAATAAAACAACAATTCTGTAAGCCTTATTACCTGGTTCAGTGTTAGAGATATATTATATAATTATGTATAATAAATCTATAGTATTTCAGTCTTCAGACATGATGAAATAACATTTTTTTTGATTCGATTTAGAGTTTTTGTTTTATATGTATATTTTTAATTAAATATAGATGTTTTTATAAATCTAATTTAAATTAGAAGTCTATATTTGAAATAAAGCCTATTTTATATAAAATAAATCTATATTCAATATTGAAAAATAATTTGATTGAATAAAACATCTTGGTAAAATAATAAAATTTATATATAAATAAAAAACCCCGAAATAAAAAATCTATATAAAAAATCTATACTCAATAAAAACAATCTTAATTGAATAAAACAAATCCAAATAAAAATGATTAATTAATACAATTAAAAAAATTCATATATGAAAATAAATTAATAAAAATAAAAATAAAAGTGACTAAAAAATGTAATAATGTTTAGTCAGTTATTTTTTTTACTATATTGCTAGGGTTTTGTGGAAAAATCAATCCTTAAAAAACCATTTACTAAATTTAATTAAAAAAAAAAAAAAAATTTAAATTACACATCAAATCAAATATTAAAAAATTAATTTACGACCATATATTTGAACAAGTTCCTTTCCTTAAAACTCATCTTACTGGGGGCTAATATACTTTTATACATAAGAAAAGGCATTTCCACATCAACTACTAAGTAATTAATAATTACTAGATGGACATGGAAATGCGTTGCTATTGCTAGGTTTTTGTAAGTATGCGAGCAGTATATCAACAGTTAGGAAATTAACCTGTAGTGGATCATGGGACCTCGTGTTTAACTCTAAATTATCAAAAAAACAGTTGACCGTGGTACGATTTCGATATATTCTGTACTATACATTAACACACAGGTTTATCGCATTAATAATGATACAAATTATTATTAAAACCAATAGCCACGATTTTAAAACAAACAAAATAATAAAAACAAACAAACGAAAAATCCCTGTTTGAGAACATACCTGGGTTAGGACCACTTATTCACCTCTTTTGAGATAAAAAGTAGCTTATCTCCTTTCCTGAAGTCTAATCTATCTCTGTATCAATTTTCATCGCAATTGAATGGAACGGATTAGGAATGCATAAAGGACATCGGTAGATAGTCATTAGTCAGAACATTTTTTGTATTTTATATGTATAGATTAATATGCACAATTGTATTAATTAATTTTAAGTATTATATTTGTTTTAGTTATAAATATATATTTATTTTTAATTATTTTTTTGAGGAAGTTTAATTAATTATTTTAAACATTTTTTGATATTCGTTTAAATAAATTATTTTTAATCTAGAAAATTTAGATACTGAAATATTTTTTGATCAATCGATTTGCTAAATGTCGACTTGATTTATGAACAGATGTGCCAAAGCGATGGGGAGTGGTGCTTCACGAAGTTAGTCCCACCACAAATCTAATTATTAATTTGTGACTTTGCACTTGATTTGGAACATTGAATTTTCAAGTTTTTTGACATTGGGAACATTTTTAGTATTTTAATTATGATAAATAGTACAGTTATATTTATAATATTAATACTAAATACCTACCTATTTTCATTAACCGTGCTGCTTCTGTCTCTCGAAATGACTCGCTTGAACGACCGTCATTAATCATAGCTGTAATAGCTTTTGATTGTGCAGGTCCAATCATGCGACGTTTCTTTGCCTTATGCACTTCGTCAAAATTACCTGTGTAAGAACATTCCATAAGAACTCTGAAAAAAAAGTATAATAACAATACAAATTAAGTTACTTTCAAGTTTCAATTTCAAATTAATAAATTATGGAATAAAGTATAGTAAAATCAATTGAATGTTTAAAAATACCTTGCAGTTGTTGGAGGTCTTTCGTGCACAATTCCTTCGAAATAGGAGTCACATACAGTACATTTTCCGACAATTTTTATGTAAAAATTACCATATGGATGTACTCTTGCTCTACGAAAAGATAGACAACAAGGTAACTGAGTGTGCTCCCAAAAATGCTCAGCCAATAATGGGGTCCATGTATTTTTTGGCAATACATGGTATACTCTGGAACTTTGTGTAGAGCGTTTATCATTATTTTTGTAACGGACTTCTTCCGGCTCTACACTTTTCCATTCTTCAGGTGAGAACGTGAGAACAATTTTTTTTGATGGTAGTGTTATTGATGTATCACTATTACCCTCACTAGAATCATCTATGAATGTATTTAATACAATTATTAAAACTTAACATCAGGTTAATTTTGATAATTTATTTAGAAAGGACAATTTGATATAATTTAACTATTTTTTTCATACTTTTTTAATTATATATTTTATTCTATTAGAAATATATCAGATTAAAAAACTTTAAGAATTTATTGTGATGCTTTGAGTTGCATCTTTTCGTGCATTAGTCACTAAAAATCACCCAACTTGACATAATATCTATATTATTTACCATCATCGTGCGAACTATTTTCTTCTGTCATTAAGCTGTTCTTTTTGTTCTGACCAGAAATAAAACCTAAACTGTCTTTAATACCATGAGCATTACGATACACAAATGTATGTAATGCCGCACCATTCATACGCCCATTTAAGTAGCAGCTAATCTCGTACCATACAGGATTAGTTGCAACAACTATACCTAAAATTTAAAATTTAAGCAATTAATAATAATTAAATTGATGATATTTAAAAATTTAACTTTAGACGCTTATAGGTTATAAAACATATTTGTAGCTTACATTCATTATTTTTATAACTATAATAAGAAAAACTTATATGGAAACTTGTATTTAATGTTCAAAACCTTATTCAGATATTTTAGAATATTTAACAATAAAATAGTTTGTACATTATTGGGAATTTTGTCAAATTTTAACTTCTAAATTTTAGGAAAAAATAAATATATAAAATTTAAATCCATGGATAATGGCTCACTAGTCACTACACACAATAACCACCAAAACAAAAGTATATAATATGGAACTTTGTATTAATTTTCTAAGCTTTTTGATTTAAGATCATTTTAGTTTCGGTGTAGCGGTAAAAAAAATGTATACTCAACTAGCTGAACCCGTGCACTTCGTTGCCCGTTAAATGTACCAACTCTATATGACTCAAACTTTGTTCAATTCGTTATTCAATGTTCGGTGCATGGGGTTTGAAATTAATCTTAACTTTTCCGTCAATTAATTAATCAATTATTACAAAATCCTAACCTAACCTGTTGCGTCACTGTTGTATTTTTGACATCCATATTTCCTACTTTTCCGGTGGATTTTCCTAAAATTTTCATTCATAAAAACCTCCTCCGCGATATACTCTTTCGTTTACAAAAAACCGAGAAGATCTGATAAGTAGTTCCAGAGTTTACCCTGTACAAAGATTTTCATTTCACATTTATATATTTATTCTGGATTTGTTGACGGACCTGCAGGTGTACTATCGTATATATATTATATTGATCGTTTCGTACTTGTTGAACAACATTTCGTTGCAACCTATATGATACTTTAGGGCGACATAATTACGTGATTGTCAGCCTATACTCTGTCGTCTTGGTCGTGGCATTTTTTACAATTGTAATTTAATAAAAATCAATCTCATTTAATCTCAAACCAATTAATATTTATCTGGGAAATAGAATTGTTGTTGTAATATGTATGTGCAGCTGTTTATTATTATTATTATTTGGGAAATGGAAACGCAATCATTTAAAAATTCTCGTTCTTTATTTTAAATTTCATTGTCATAGTAATTTTGCGACTGGAACACCAACCACTCGCCAGGAGTGCATTTAAGAGACCATAACTCCGAAACCACTTATTGCACAGTGTACAAACTCCACAGAAACTATCTACATATCAATACTAATATGCCCTTAAATTTTTATCGAAATCGGTTTGGCGGATCATGAGTTATAAAATGTATTCAAAATGTACACTTATTTTGATATATAAAGATTATAAAGATAAAAAAAGGTGCTCTGCTCAAAATTCCCGTTTTTCCTTAATTTTTCTTTTGTTTTTCTTGGCGTTTTTGAAAATTACTGGGAATTTTAAATGTTGACATCCCTAATGCACCAACAATATTCACTTTCAAATCTAACAAAATACTGAAGTTGAAAATCGAAACATTATTTCGACTACTTATCGTGTTCACAGACACAAAAAAAAAATTAAAAAAACACACTTCATTGTAAAATCAACATTCATTGTTCCACTCAGAATCTAAAATTCATATCTAAATAAAATTAACAAAAATAACTAAAAAATGTAACAATGTTTAGTTGTTTATTTGTTCTATTAATAATTAGTAACACATAATTTGTATTAATTATTTTAGATTCTGAGTGAAACGATGAATGTATTGTTTTTACAATGGTGTGTGTTTTTTTTAATTTTTTAATTTTTTTTTGTGTCTGTCATCACGTTTTAGGACATTAAAAGTACTTGGATTTTCTTCAACAGTAGCTTTTCTGATAGGAAAGTGAATCTTGTTGGTACTTGGGGGTAGTTTTCACAAGCGCCGGGAAAAACAACATAAAAATTAAGGAAAAACGGGAATTTTTACGCAAAATCGGTTTTCCAAAAAATCGATTTTGGTTTTTGGTGCAGTAACTCTAAAATAAATGAACGTATATACATGAAATTTTCACTGGTTGTTTATATTTGCATTTTATATACACGATAACATTTTCAAAATATTTTGAACTGTTTAGGGACATTTTCATTTTCCATCTTTTTTTAGTTTTTTTCTAAAAATATCAATAAAATTTTGTTTGTTGGTTGCAAAAGCTTGAAAATGTAATAAAAGGCTCCTAGTATATTGTTCCAAAGGCAGATGAAAAATATTAAAAATCCTTAGTCACAATTTTTTTTTATAAACATTTAAAGTTCAAAAATTGACAAAATATGTAAAAATCACGAAAATTAGCAAATTATTTTGAGTTAAGAATTCGTAAAAACTTTTCTTTTTAAATCTAAGATTTGGAAATGTAATACAAGATTCCTTATAAGATTATCTACCTTTATAAAAAAAAAATGTCTATAAGAAAGTCAAATTAAATTTTTATGAGCGTTTGAAATTCAAATTTTTACAACATTGGATATTCACTCGATTTCTCATGTAGCGATTTCCTTATTTTGTTGTAATTCAAAAACGAATAACTGTAGATACATGAAAATTTCACTGAATGTTTAAATTAGCATTTTCTTTACACCATACAATTTTGAAAATATTTTGACTCTTTTTGAGCTTTTTTTTTTTTTTTACTTTTTTATTAAATAAAGTTTTACTGACATATGTCATCTTAACTTAGTGTTGATTAGATACATTTTTTTTTAACATTTGGAAAAAATATAACAATTAGTAATAATTAGAAAAATTATTAGTAAAAATAGAAACTATCGACTACGTTTTAAATATTTACAAAACGGAAGAAAAAAAAATAAAAACAAAAATAATAAATTGGCCAAAAAGTGTAAAAATTTAATACAAAGCTCCTGATATATTGTTACAATAGCAGTTGAAAAATTAAGAAGTTCTAAAAACTGGTAAGATTAAATTAATCAATGATTTATAAGAAATAAATGTTAAAATTTTGACAAAATTCGTAAAAATAACGATGACTTACAAATTATTTTGTAGTTTTAAAACGTCTAATATAACTAATTGGTGGTAGATATCTATTATAAATATATTTTAAATAACATTTTAAAAGACATTAGCTTATAGACAAATGAATAAAAGTGACAAACATTTAGACATCTGAAACTGCATTTACACAGCACATTATTCCAATCAGTGACGCAACCAGAATTTTTTCAAGGGGGGGGGGGGGTCCATACTCGTTAGAACATAGACATTTTAACAACAAACTACGAAAAAAATCTTGTACCAATAATCTATACACAAGTACAATACATTTTTCATGAAAATTTAAATCAATGTTTAATAATATTTTAAAATTTGAGAAAATACATAATAACATACTTATATTAATATATTTGAAATTACAAAAAAAAAAAAAAATAATTCATAACATAAAATCTAAACGGCATAATTATATTTAATAATATGACGTATTTATAATTTCTTCAGATTGTACTTACTGACGTTAAAATTAATTTTTAGAGCAGCTAGTAGCCATAGAAATAAAATAATAATACGGGACACTTAAAAACAAAATAGGTAATATGTAAATGGTTTTTACATTAGGTACATCGTACATATAGGACATAGTTACCACGTTTATATGCAGTCATTAATGTGTATTAACTCAATGCGCATTGATTGTTAATCCGGGAGTTGGGTGCATATAATAAACGAATTTTTAATTAGCATTAAACAAATGTGCGTTTATTATTTAATTCGATTCGTCAAATCAAGTTAAATCTAACTCCGGGATTAAGAAATCCATGTAAACGCTTTAATGCGAATTATTTTTTTCGCGGGAATTTAAAAAAAAAAATTTTATAATTATTTTGATTATGAAATACAAAATATAAAACAGGGACTAAAAAACATTCGCATTAACTTAAAATTTTACCCGACCTCTAATCTTGATTTTTTAGGTGCATATAAATCCACCCCCTAATGTGCATTAATTCAATTCGCATTAAATCAATGCGAATTAACTGCTGCATATAAACGTGGTAACTTACATTAGTAGCCAGTACCTGGTACTTACACAAAATCAATTTTATTTTGATACGTCTTGATTAATCAAGATTATGCATACTAAATATTATATAATAAAAATAAATAAATGCAGCAACGTACAATGCAGCTGATGATATCAATAAATGATTTTTCATTTTTGTAGTAATTATTCTGTTATATACCTATCTATCACCATATAATATAATTTATAACTTATAATTCTAACTTCTTCTATAGAAAATACCGATTTAAATATTGTACGAAACGATTTTTCAACTTCATCAGTACCTATCTCTTAGAAAAATAAATTCTAATTTTAAATTTGGAGTGAAAACGCTCCTTCTTTTTGGATTTTTGAAAACAAATAATAGGTAGATATTTTTTTTTCTAATAGGTAATTATTGTGTTTAACACACCGTACTTATATACTACAACAAAGTACATAGTACAGACTGAATATCTGTAGTGTACAAAAAATAAGAACAAATAACATTTAAAATGTTTTACATAGAGTTAATATTATCAATATTATGAATATTATAAAATATAAATAGATATTAGTACATTAAAGTTCGCAACACGCACACATTGACAACGAACAGGTCGGTGCCCGGTGAGACGGTAGGTACCTACTATAATATAATAATAATAATAATCATATATACCTAAATATATAGGCTATTATATACATAAAAATATAATATTTTTATTAGGTATAACTCAGTATAAGTATAGGTACCTACTAGCTACTACTTACCTTTTACGTCGTTGACAATGATATTATGACATTTATACATTATTAATTTTATACTTTCTACCCTCTAAAATAGACAAAACAAGAATCCAAAAATACCATTGAAAAAGTTACTGTAGATTCTAATATTCTATTGAATAATGTCATTTAAAAATATCGAAAAAAAAACAATTTTAATTTAAAATAAATCTTTTAAATTAACAGTAAAGGGAAGAACGGAACAAAATGCGTCCCACATAACTTTTGTCTGGACAACAGTATACAAAATTTACGAAACGTTTTTCTTTTTCACACTATATGTACCTACTACCATAAAACTATCATACAATTATTTGTGTGGAATTTTATTACCTATTCTAAATTAAATAAATAAAATAAAATATCTTATATAATAGACGATCATAGTATGGTCCAATATGTGGGGGGAGTCCACACCAGGGGGATTGGGCCATTGATTCCAATATAACTTCATTATTATTATTTGGTACATGTACGACGATGTTTTTCACTAAAATTACAAATATTACTAATTTATGGTATGTATTAGAAAATACTTACTTCTGTTATCATCATCGTCATTCATCACTACCCTCTCTTTAAATTGCATTACAGCCGCAACAACTTCACGAGGCTCTATTGCAGGTTTTCTTCCAACCATTTTCAAAATGCTCTTTAATGTAGCCGTATAAACAAATAGCTCAAACAGTCACAATATTAAAATAGTATAAACTACAGGAAATAGTTGTTATACGATTGACTGGTATAAGCAAAATGAAATAATCCCGAAACGAACATTAATTTAATCGATATAAAAATTAAAAATAGACACAATGTTGTAAAGCAAGAATCTAAAAATATTATTTACGAATAAATATATTAATTTTACACTATAGTAAATCTTATTAACGATAAATTTTCAACACAAACATCACGTACTACATTACTAATATAGATATTGTAGTATTTCAAGTAAGAAGGTATGCACGTTATAACTTATATTATGTATATTGTTAAAAACAGCTTATAAGCAAATAATAAAACACGAATTACCTAAATCCACGACTGGACAAGTTAATGATAGTTTTTAACTTATATAGGTAATTTAGTAAAGTATTTTTTTTTTCAATTAAATTAAAAGTTATGTTATAACACATCATTAATACATCAATTAAATTAAAATAAGGTTAACAAATACTATATTAATTTAACATGGCTTAAATTTAAAAAAAACTACTATATGCACGTGGGGAATATTATATTATATACATTACCTATACATATTATATAATTAAGATTTATATTTTAAAACATTATTATTATATTATAAAACAATTAAAATATTAATAAACAACAATCAAAGAATTAGTTACAAACGGGAACACGGAAATCAAAACCAATTTTGCGATTTCGATTTTGGTTATTAAAACCAGGTTTTCTATATAAACGGTTTTTCTAACCAGTTTTACTATAAGTTTTAGGTTTTAGGTAACCACACTTTACAGGTGTTTTATAGTTAAGAAAAATATTTTGTTTCGCTTAGGAAAAAGTAGAAAATTCCAATGAGGGGGTCGGGGGACACGGGAAAATTGGTTTTTCGATTATAACTCGGGAGGGGGTCGCATACAAATTCCAAAAATGGTCATACAAATACATACAAATAGCGTTTAATTGTTTCGCGTAGGAAAAAGTAGAAAATTCCTATGATGGGGGGCGGGGGACACGGGAAAATTGGTTTTTCGATTATAACTCGGGAGGGGGTCGCATACAAATTCCAAAAATGGTCATACAAATACATACAAATAGCGTTTAATTGTTTCGCGTAGGAAAAAGTAGAAAATTCCTATGATGGGGGGCGGGGGACACGGGAAAATTGGTTTTTCGATTATAACTCGGGAGGGGGTCGCATACAAATTCCAAAAATGGTCATACAAATACATACAAATAGCGTTTAATTGTTTCGCGTAGGAATAAGTAGAAAATTCCTATGATGGGGGGCGGGGGACACGGGAAAATTGGTTTTTCGATTATAACTCGGGAGGGGGTCGCATTAAAATTCCAAAAATGGTCATACAAATTCATACAAATAGCATATAATTGTTTCGCGTAGGAAAAAGTAGAAAATTCCTATGATGGGGGGCGGGGGACACGGGAAAATTGGTTTTTCGATTATAACTCGGGAGGGGGTCGCATACAAATTCCAAAAATGGTCATACAAATTCATACAAATAGCGTTCTTGAATCTTGCAGTACAAAATATATGAATACTTAATTATTTATATTACGGGGGCTGGAGACATATGTCTCCAGCCCCCCTTCTGTATTTCCGATATTGCTCGAATACTGGTGTCGTACAAATTCTAAGAACCATCAAACAAATTCATACAAATGGCATACAAAATATTTGGATAGAAATTTTCGAAATTTTCTTTGGATGGGGGGTTGGGGACACGTACGTGGTAATCTAAGTACCTATGCAGCTCGGTTGAAAATAATATTGTTGCTGCAATGTCAGCACTCTGAGGTCAATAGTGGTTGCAACAAAACATTTACATATAGCTATTCTGCGGCCAATCATTTCCAACCAATATCAATAACGCGTTTACCATATTATTCTACTTATAAGGAAGTATAGGCACACTAATTTATACCAATCCCTTATATCCCTAACCAACGTCAAACATACAAAATATTTGTACATTTGAGTAAAATATTTTTGAAATCTATAAGATATATGCTGTTTGTTCGTATAAATTATAATATATCATAGTAGACTTATAACTCTTCGTTCAATAATGAAAAATAAAATACAACTAGTTTGTATGTGACGACGGTACAGCTGGTTTGGAACTTTTGGACCGAACTAGAGCCGTCACTACACGGTGTATACTGCTTAATAACGCTATATTGGGTGATTTAATATAATTATTTACTACATTTGGTCACTTGACCTGGATAATATAATAAATAACAGTGCACAATACACGATGTATGTAAAATATATTCAAGCTAAATAATACATAATAAATGCTGCAGGTGTTATATATATTTAAATATTTAATATCCTTCACTATTGTCTTTTTTTCAATGTCAACCGAGAAAATATTTTAATTTATAAGACACGCGATAACTTATTTCATTAGAATGGATCGTTTTATTTTTAGCCGCTAAGTAGTGGGAATTTTTCCTCTGAACGGAGCGACGAATGTATTGATTTTACAATGAAGTGTATTTTTTTTTTTAATTTAAAATTTTTAAAATTGTTGTTTCTGTCATCACCGTATGGAGCAGTAAAACTGCTTCGAGCTCCTTCAACACTCTCTTGTTCAATGGAAATGTGAATCTAATTCGGGAGGTCGAAATTTATATCATATTTTTATTTTATCAATTCCCATATATACACCTGATAAAATTTTCAAAATAGTTAACCGTTTTCAAAGTGTTTACGGACATTTTCAATTTTCAATTTTTTTAGTTTTTTTTTTCTATTAACAACATTTTATTTGTTGAGTAAAAAGCTTGAAAATGTAGTACAAGACTACTGATATGTATTATATTGTTACAATTTATAGCAGTTGAAAAATATTAAAAATACATATGCACCCATTCTTTTTTTCATAAGCATTAAAAATTCGAATTTTGACAAAATCCATCCAATTTAAAATTTAAAAATTATTTTGTAGTTAAAAATTTATAAAATGATCAACTTTTATGGCTAAGGATAATAAATGTACAATTAGGTTCTAGGTAAGTAGGTTTTTCTGTAATCAAAAAATCTCAAAAATATAAAAACATTTTTTTTTATAGTTATTTTATGTTGAAATTTTCACGAAATTACATATTAAATAACCAAGAATAACGATTTTAGTTATTTTGTTGTTATTTTATAATATTAATTCAACTTACCGGCTACTGTATTAATAATAAGTAACAACAATATAAATATATAATATTATAAAATATCCACACTGATATACCGTCTCCGCTCAGAACCGTTTTTCGTATACAATGTTATTATATCATTGAATTCAAAATTAATACCATCCATTGTACAGTGACCCACTTGTAACCTACTGTACAGCAGAGTGACATTCACTTGCCAACCTTTTTATAGTTGAAATTTAAAACAAGGTTTCTCATAAGAAATCAATACTGAACCAAAAGATCTAAAAAATATAACAGGTTTTTTTTTATAGATATTTTAAAATGTAAAATATGTCTAACATCTGGTAGAAAATTTGAGCTAAACGGTACTTTAATCTAAATTTTACCCCGTAATTGTACATATATAGCATTCAGTGGCGTATATAGGGGGGGGGAGGCCCCCCTAGGCCAGAGCCCATAGTGAAATTGCGTGTATATTTACACTGTTTACAGTTTTTCATTACGATTAAGTTAGCCGGTTGGTTAAAATTCTTTTTAAGAATCTGCAACAAGGAAATATTAGATTGTCAGGACTTGCTTTGACTGATAGCATTAAGTTGAAATGTAACACTTCCATTTCAACGGCCTAATCACAATTGAGATGCTCACTCCAGTACACAGTGACTTGCCCTGGTTTATTTATTCATCATTGAATAATTCGTTTAATATTTGAATAGGCACCTCTTCAATATTTACAAATTAAAACCCTGCAGTGTAGGTGCTCAGCCGACCATAGTTAGTTTATGACACTTTACCAGCAATTAATTAGTAGCAGTTGATTAAAAATATTTCAACTTAAATATTGTATAATATAATAGTATGTACCTATACCTATAGAAGATACATATTATGCCTACCTATAGAAGACACGTCAATTAACTATCTTGTTGTATACGTTCGATTATTGTTCGCGTTGGAAAAATTATTACCATCAGCAAACAGCATAGCGCGAATTCCAGGCGCGCATCGTATGTGTACATAATATGTATATATTGTATAATAATATTATGACGGTGGAGGGGGGTGTGTGCACAACGCGAAAAATTACACGGATCGCAGGATTATACCGGGGTCGACATTGTAGCCATTAAAACGCGGTCACACAAATAATTATCTGATACTCTATTATAATATTATAATATATGTAACGGTCGTGTTATATTGTATTATTATGCGAGTGTGGCCATATAATAGCAACACGCGTAACTGCAGCGCTTAACGCGTTCCTTTGCATGCATAATAGAACCGGAATAATTTTACACGTCAGGGGCCAGAATTTTTTTAAATTGCAGTAAGTTAGGACATCGTGACGGTCAATTTTTGACAGCCGCCTCACGTGCCACATATCATACCTACACGGGTACCTGCTGCACCGCCGCCGCCGCCGAGTATTATAATTAATTATTATAATATTGCACAAATATGAGCGCCGGCGCGATAGGACGACGGACCACTGCAGCAGCTGCGGTGTGCGTATACCTAGGTTACGTTGTATACGACCCCGACGTTATAACTAGTTTTCGTTATATCCGATGTGCGATTTCCGCTGTCGGATCGCTATAACTACGCTGAGTAGAATTCTTTTTCTCCACCGGCTACAATAATAATATACATATTATTACAATATAGAAACGCATTGCAATGCACGTGTGCATGCACTCGCGGGCGGACGCTATGCAGCCGCAGGTCGTCTGCAGCGATGTTTATGTTGTTCGTGGACGTAATTATTTCGTTTCG